ACAGATTGAGCTGCTTCAGCAGCAACAACAACAGATCGCAGCTACGCATCAGCAATATGTCAACATGGGTCTGTTACAACCACAGCAGCTGGGTCAAGTTTCGGCATTCTCTCCCTCTCTGCAAAGCGGGGCTTCCATGGGAGGAGTTTCCCCGCAGATCAATGCCTTCCAGTTTCCGCAACTGGCTCAGCAACAACTTGGCGTCGGATTGAACGCACCTGCCCAGCATTCGCATCGACGGAATCAGTCGGCTCTTCCCGGTTTGGGAATGGGACCTCCGCCAGCTCCATCCTCAGGAGCGTCGGGATACTCGGACTATAACCAACAACAGAGCCATCAGCCAAAGAATGAGAATGGAGGTCACGGGCGTGGCCAAAGAGGTCCTCCTGGTGGCGGTGGTCATCAGAGACGTCACTCGCTTGCACTTCCTGAAGCCAAAAAGGCCGCTGAGCTTGCGCAACAGAAAAGGACGGCATCTGGTTTCCAGTTTCCCGCTCCCTCTGGCGATTCCTCTGATGCTGCGCAGAGCTCAGACGGCAAGTCAACCCCACCCGCTACACAGGCTCCCCAAGGTCTAGGTATGCATCGAGCCGGTAACATCCGTGCTGGCGGTCATGGTCGTAGTCAGTCAATGGCTGTGGGTGGAAACCGAGGCTCTCTGTCGGGTCGCGGCGCCGGTGGCTTCCAGTTCCCTGCTTCTAATGACAGTGGTTCTGATAATCAACGTCGTGGCAGCCAGCCCGGTCACGCTCGGTCTGGATCAAGGAACTTTGATAGCAACTGGCGCCAGCCTAATAACCAAGCTCAAAGCCAGGATCAACAGAAGAGCTTTGGACAGCAAGGCAGTGGCTTCCAGCCTGGACATCGTGCTCGTGCATCCATGAACCAGTCGATTGGTTCCATTGGGCAGTTCCAATACCCTGCACAGCCCCAGCTCATTCAACTGCCACAAGGCCAGGTCATGATGGCTCCGCAGATGTTTGGTGGCCAACAACAACTGAACCCCCTGCAACTTGCCCAGCTCCAGGCCCTGCAACAGAATGGACAGCTCAGCGGCCAGGGCCTTGGGCTTCAGGCTAGTCAGCACGCTCCGCCGCAGCTTTCTGCTCAACAGCAGCAGCAACAACAGCAGCAGCAGCGGAAGACCCTCTTCACTCCTTATCTGCCTCAGGCAAACCTTCCTGCTCTCTTGAGCAATGGCCAGTTGGTCGCTGGTATCCTCCGTGTAAACAAGAAGAATCGTTCCGACGCCTACGTCACCACACCAGACCTAGATGCCGATATCTTCATCTGTGGAAGCAAGGATCGTAACCGTGCTCTTGAGGGAGACTATGTTGCAATCGAGCTTTTGGATGTAGATGAGGTGTGGGCTCAGAAGAAAGAAAAGGAGGAAAAGAAGAAGCGCAAGGACATCACAGACGCCCGTTCCGGTAGCAATGCTGGAAATGACAAGCTGTCTCGATCTGATTCCGGCGCCAACGGCGACCGCCAGGAGGTCGGCCCCGACGGCAGTATCCGTCGCCGTGGCAGTCTCCGACAGCGACCAACCCAAAAGAAGAACGATGATGTCGAGGTTGAGGGTCAGAGTCTTCTCCTGGTTGAGGAAGATGAGATCAGTGACGAGCAGAAGCCCCTCTATGCGGGACACGTCGTCGCCGTCATTGAGCGTATTGCAGGACAAATGTTCTCGGGAACATTGGGCCTCCTTCGTCCCAGTAGCCAGGCGACGAAGGAGAAGCAGGAGGCCGAGCGACTCGCCAGAGATGGTGGTCACGGTCGCCAACAGCAGGACCGCCAGCAGGATAAGCCCAAGATCGTGTGGTTCAAGCCCACCGATAAACGTGTTCCTCTGATCGCCATCCCCACCGAACAGGCTCCTCGCGACTTTGTTGAAAAACACCAGGAGTACGCCAATCGAATCTTTGTTGCATGCATTAAGCGATGGCCAATCACATCTCTGCACCCCTTTGGTACCCTTGTCGAACAGCTTGGCGAGATGGGCGACTTGAAGGTGGAGACCGAAGCTCTGCTGCGGGACAACAACTTCGGTGGAGACGAATTCTCCGACGCTGTTCTCAAGAGTATCGGTTGGGAAGACTGGTCGGTCGCCAGTGAGGGTGACGCTCTGCTCGCCTCCCGTCGGGACCTGCGCCAGGAGACGACTTTCACCATCAATCCTACCGGAGCCAAGCAGATTGACAATGCGTACCACATCAAGCCTCTTGCGGATGGCAAGGTGGAGATTGGTATCCATGTCACAGATATCGCTCACTTCGTCAAAGCCAACTCCCTTGTTGATCGGGAGGCCAAGAAGCGAGGCACGGCTGTTTACCTCATGAACAGACTTGTGAACATGCTCCCCACCCGCGTATCTACTGAACTGTGTGCCCTGCTGCCAGGCGAGGATCGGTTGACAGTCAGTGTCATTATCAAAGCCAACCCAGAAACAGGTGCTATCGAGGATGACGTTTGGATCGGCAAGACCATCATCAAGAGTTCCGGTCGCCTCAGCTATGATGATGTCAATTCCATTCTTCAGGGAACATCAAACGTTGCCGCTCCCGGTGTCGCCGCTGACACTATCAGAGCCCTTTATGTAAGTGATCTCGTGAACTCGACCCGCAGTATCTCGTCTAATGTTGGCTGAGCGGCTGAGCTAATGGTATCTTGTAACTAGGCTGTCACTTCACGATTCAAGGAGGCTAGATTCGGCAATCGGATTTCACAAATCCCTCCCCTCCGCCTTTTGTACCAGCTCGATGACGAGAACGTGCCCGTTGAGGGTAATATCTTCGACTCCTCTCCTGTCCGTGAGATGGTTGAAGAACTCAGCTTCAAAGCCGATTCCTTGGTAGCCCGTCGCTTGGCCGCTGCTTTGCCGGATAGGGCTTTTCTCCGCCGCCAAACCCCACCCAACGCCCGTCGTCTTCAGCTTTTCGTTGAACGCATGAATAGACTTGGGTTCGGCTTGGACCCAACCAGCAGCGGGACCCTGCAGAGCAGTCTCTGCAAGGTCCAAGATGATGATTTGCGCAAGGTCAGAAGACTCACCCTTCCTGTCGAATATATGAAACTTCGTTACTGACAGTAGTAGGGTATGGAAACGCTTCTTATGAAGTCCATGCAACGTGCCAAGTACTACGTGGCTGGCAGCACATCTGACGACCAGCGACAACACTATACACTTAATTTGCCAGTATATACACACTTCACCAACCCATCTCGCCGTTATGCGGATATGCTCGTTCATCGTCAGCTAGAGGCTGTTCTGTCCAACGGTGCTATTGAGCTTTCGGAGGATCTGGAGTCGCTGAACAAGACTGCCGATCTTTGCAACAACAAGAAGGACTCCGCACACAATGCCCAGGAGCAAAGTGTTCACATCGAGGCCTGCAGAAGTATGGATAAAATCCGCCAAGAGCATGGCGGTGATCTCATTAGCGAGGGTATCGTTCTCTGTGTTTATGAGTCTGCCTTCGATGTTCTCATCCCAGAATATGGATTTGAGAAGCGTGTCCACTGCGATCAGCTGCCTTTGAAGAAGGCCGAATTCCGCAAGGAGTCGCGTGTGCTGGAGCTTTACTGGGAGAAGGGAGTGCCATCCTCTGCTTATATCCCTGAAGACGAGCGGCCGAAGCCTGCCAACTCTCGCGCTGCTCAAGCTGCTGCTGCTGCCCGCGAAGCTGAGGCTGCACGTGAGCGTGCTCGCGAGCGCGAAGAAGCCATCCGTAGACAGACCGAGACTGGCACCATGTCGCATGATGACGTGGACGCTTTATTCGACGACGATGACGACGTTTCCGAAGTCACCGAGATGGCTGCGGGTGTTTCATTGAACTCCGCTGTCGACCGTTCCACCCAGAGCATGCCACCTTCGCCTACTCGCAATGGTCATCTCCCTCAGGCGCCTCATCGGACACGTTCTGACCCCAAGATTGCGACTATCAGTGGCGATGCTCCTGAAGCTAAGTTGACGAACAAGGAGAAGTATCTCCGGCTGTTCAAGCTCAGAGAGGAGGATGGAGAGTACATTCAGGATGTCACCGAGATGTCTCGGGTGCCCATCATCCTAAAGACTGACTTGAGCAAGAGCCCACCGTATGTTTCTCCTCGGTCACCGTTTCTTCTCAGTCGAGTCCCCAAGCTAACCGCGACACAGATGCCTTACTATCCGCTCTGTTAACCCCTACGCGCTGTAATAGGGGCCGTGCATCATTTGTCTTCTCTGGATGTGTTTTACATGTTTACAGTACAGATTTGACCTTTGCTTAGCGGATTGTTAGGGTGGCTGTCTGATGGTGGTCGTCCAGTTTGATTGTCTTCCGTCAGCTGAGCGAGGCACCACCTCATGCTCATGGTCGTATAGCTTTTATCAGCCTAGCGTGTTATTTTTTCTTATAATGTCTGAAGCTCTTCCTGGGAAACAGGGGCAAGCCTAACTTGAGACTTTGCAGTAGGGCCTCGTGTGGACCTGACTCAAGGAGATCGAAATGTGAACCTTCGTGGTGATGGAGGGTTATCTTTACGTCTTGCCGATCATGAAGATCCGAGGGCTAGATGCCTGATCTAATGTGACGTGACGAGAGGGGGTACTTATCTCGGCCAGATCGAAAGCCAGTCAAGCTCAATTGTCTCGGCAAATTTTGTGAATTCATCATTAGATATTGCATAGTTTCAAACAGCACATGTTTCAGAACACTGATAAATCCTCCGAGGTACAATTGTAGCCAAGCGATGAGGTCAACAGTTTTACGCTAAGTGATGGTTGCGGTAGATTCCTTGAGTTTTGCATACGTCTTACAAGCGGACTACCTAAACAGGTACAGCCTATCACATGCGGGTCGGGGTGTACTTATACCAATCCAAACATACTAAACGCCAGGCTAAAGAATCCTCACAACCAAAACCCATCCCAACAGTCTCGTAAAACCAACTCCGCAATGAACATGATGCTAACAACCTCAAAACAAGAAGTGAAGAGAAAGGAAAAGGCACAGAGGTTACAACCGCCGGATCCCAATCCTCGGCTTCACTTTCTTTCCCGTCCCGCCAGCCGACGCCGACACCTTCCTCGCGCCCAATGTCATGGACCGGAGCGGTTTCGAAGTTGAAGGGACGGACGCGGAGACGGCACGTCGAGAAGACATAGTGCCCGTCGTATTAGCAGCAGTAATAGTAGTAGTAGAAGGCCCCAGTTCCGCGAGCGGGGGATATTGGTGGGATGATTTCCCAGGGAAGAGGGACGATGAAGCGGAGGCGAGAAAACTCTTGGACAGGGGGTTCTCCTTGCCGTCCCCACTCCGTCGGCGGCGGGTTTCCTCGTCGTCCGAGCCCGGGGACGAGGACGGGTCCTCGAAGATCTGGAGGTCGACTGTCGCTGCTGCTGCTGCTGCCGTCGCAGGGGTAGAGGCTACGACATCGTCGCGGATGCGGCCGGAGGCGTTGACGCCTTTCATGGGGGAGGCGCCTCGTTTGGGAATGGAGAGTTTGGGGGACTTGTTGCGGGGTTGTTCGGGGGAGGAGGGGGAGTGATCTTTCTCGCTTTCTCTGTCTCTTGTGGGGAGAGGGTGGGTTTTGCTGGGGTGTTTGTAGTAGGATAAGGTGGGAGAGCTGGATGGTGATGTTGATCTTGTTTGGTTGGCGGCGATGTTCTGATCTGAAGCCGAGGGGTTGGGGGTGATTTCGGGATCGGGGTCGTACTGGTCGTCGTCCTCGTCCTCGTCGTCCATGTCCATTGGTAGCGTTAGGACGGAGAGGGGACGTTTACCGTGGATGTTTTTGCGGAGGGTTGGGGGTGGGCGGTGGCGGACTGGGGAAGGAGATAGCGAAGGGTCGTTCTCTTTGCTGGCGTTGGAGGATTCGGAGTCGGAGGGGGTCTCATCTTCACCATTGTTTCCTTCGTTGTTGGGAGCTGAATGCGTTTGTTGTTGAAGGTGATCCTGGTGACGGAGGTCTTTTTCGCGGTGGGTGAGGTGATCGGTTGTGAGGGCTAGAGAGGGTTTGGGTAAACTGGTCTGGCTGAACGACGGCGTTGGCGCAGCTGCTGAGACTGTCAGAGGAGTTGTGCTAGATTCTGATTCGGGTGTATTCATCGCGCTGGTCTTCCGAGTTGTCCGTTTCTTCATCGTCACGGACGTGATTCTGGTTCCTTTGCGTGGCCTTAGGGTGCGGGGTTCGTCCTGCTCGACCGGGATCGTGGTGCCGGCGTCTTCACCCCGCAGTTTCGCTTCGGCGACTGCGCTCTTGAGATCGTCGGGGACGGGAGCATGAATTGAGGTCATCAGCTTGGCTTGACGGGCGAAGGCTTCGTAGTTTTCTTGCAGGAGGGAGCCGGAGGCGGCGTTGAGTGCGGAGTCGGGGTTCGGGTAGATCAGCAGACAGGAGATTGTCTACACGTGCGGAGCATTCGGGTTAGAGATCCTCGATTGCGGTTATCGTGGTGATGGGGTTGGAGGGTAGCTTACGATCAGCACATCCTTCAACGTCAGCGTAGACTTCCAGTCTCGCTTCAGAGTATCCACGCAGACAGCTCCCGTCAGTTCCTCCACATTCGGATGCCAGATGCGAGTCTTGAAGGTCGCCTTGGGAGGACTCTTGGGGTAATCCTCCGGCATCTTTAGATGTAGTCGCCATAGTCCCTGTGAGTAGGGGGTGCCCTGTGGACCAGCTAGGAGCGCGGTGAATTGCGTCAAATCGTCGGCGTTGGCATCATCGGGAGGGAAGAGGTAGTTAGGCGGCAGCTCCTCATGCAATGCAGCATGGTCCGCTGCGAGACGGCGGATGCTCGCTGAAACCTTTCGAAATCCGTTAGCTTAAACTGATATCCCAAAAGTAAAATTGCAATTGGTAAAATCAACAACTTACCATCCTGCCTGCTTTTTGTGTGGCTTTCTGAAAAGTCGAACACAATTGTAGTGATACGATATATGGAAAGAAGATAAGACGATCTCACAAGACAAGGGTCCTTAGGAAAAAAGAGCTAGGTGAAAGTCAGGTGTCGAACTAGCTAGCACCAGGTGTCACTGATGTCTAGACCTCTGAGAATGGAACTGTTTCGGAGTTTTCTTTCTCAGCAAGAGCGATTAGTAGTTAATGTTGTGACACCTAGTACGGAGTAGTACTTTTGTATAAGCTCACTAGTGAAGTAGTCACTCCAGCGACGACCCGACAGCTCATTTGTTTTGATGATGTTTAGTGAAGCTGAGCGACGGCACTAAGCCCGGCTGGGTCTCAAAACAACGCGCCCGCACACCAGGCAGTCACGTGTGTTTCGCGTGTTCCGCGCGTTTTAGGAAGTGTAATTGAATGAGGTAAGGAGTCCCGATTGGGATAGGGGCGAGTGCGGACCACCTCCCGGGCCTCTTGAACAGCTGGACAAGTGGAGGAGTCTCCATAATTTACTGTAGACTATCGATCGAAGTGCCATTGACTATTTCAACGACTTCAAAGCATTGGACTACATCTCCTTCTATCTTCTCGTCCGATTTCTGTATATCTGGAGACGGAGTTAGGCCGTCAGGACCTATGAATGGAATTCGTGGACAACTCAGATACAATGCTCACGTACGTCACCAAAAGATAGATTTGATCTTTCCGTTATCCTATATGGCTGCTGTGAAAACATGGGGTGGACTCAACTGCAAGAGTCTAATGTACAAATTGGCCAAAACCTGCTGAGAGAGAATTATTGTCTTGTGTATTTACCATGTACTCATTAAGCAATTAAAAATTACTAGAAAAAAAAATCAAAAGCTCTTATGTACGCCGCAGTCATGCAACTTTGGTGAACAAGGATCGGCCTTGACATCAAACAGGGAGGGGGAATGAGAAATAATCAAACACAGAAAAACAGTCTTCCCATCAGTGGTACAAGTTCCTCCGACCAAGAACCGGTCATATATTCAGGTTATTTTCGACCTCGTTTCGCCAGACTTAATAGCTGTAAACACGCTACACAAGTCGATGCCTGGTGCGACTCATCGAAGCGGAAGATGTCTTAGACCATTGACGATGGGAGGGTATTGCCGGCCCCTTTTACAAGAGGGCAGCAATGGCGGCACCGGCCACCACGGACAGACCCATAGGAGCCATGGTGGCGAGAGGTACACCGGCACCCTCAGAGGTGCTGGTGCTGCTGGAGCCGCTGGTCTGGGAGGAAGAGGAGGAGGTCTTGGTGGAGGTGGAAGACTCGGTTTTAGCGGTGGTGGTCTTGGTCTTCACCGTCGAGAAGGACGACGCAGGAGCGCTGGAGCCAATGACAGCGCTAGAAGCACCGGCGGGGAGGGAGCCTTGGGTGGGGATGACAGGCTGGGAGGTCACAGCAGCGGGCTGAGAGGGAGCCTAGCTTCATGTCAGCACTATTGTTGTTTTGTAGATACAGGAGAGAATGCTTGCTTACCACGACAGCAGAGGACTGAGCAGCGGCGAGAGCGCCGAAAGCCACCAGGAAGATAGAGTAACGCATTGTGATAGTGGAAGGTAGGTTAGATCGGGTGGAGCGATTGTGGAGGCGGAGTATGAAGATCGATCAAGAGTCACAAGCGAATGTCTCTGGAAGCAGGTAGCGATTGAAGCGAATGGGTGAGGCCTCGAAAGGAAACGACCGTGGGGGTTACTTTATATCACTTGAGAAAGAAAAAGGGACAGAGAGGATGACAGGCGCAGGGGCATCCCTTAAATAGACCGGAGGCAGGGGACAGCGCAGAAAGGCCGGGGCCAGGTGCCGTCGCAATAAGACAATGAAGGAATAATCCATGTTCCTTTTTTTTTGTTATTATTATTATTATTTTCGGTTTCTTTCTTGTCACAATCAGCCCTATCCAGTGTCTGCACCTCCTAGTAGTGGCAATGAAAGATGGTTAGATCCACTCAGGCCAAGCCCGACGGCTCAGCATCGTTGCTCACTTTCTTGTGGCTCTGCCTAGGTACTCCGTCTTTCCAAGTGCTTGAATATACTGTGCTTAGTAGGAGTGGGTGGTTAAGGCGGGCTGGAGAAAGAGGCGGGCGAGACAGAGTACGTACTACTGTCTCGGGCAACCAATGCCAAGTCTACTTGCCCATCACACATCGAACACACCATTGCGACTAAAACCACTAAAGTCGGACTAAAGACGGAGACGAGACGGGAGACAACCATTAGACTCCATTAGACTGCAGACAGACAGTGGAAAAGAATTCATATACGAACCACGGCAGGAAGGAGGTTTGCGTATGCCTCCTGCTATTTTTACTATTTTTGGCGGTCACAGCCTGTCGCCCAGGGCTGGCCCCGCCAATAGAAGGCTTGTCCCGCCGATCTATCCATGGGCGACGGTGGTGAGATGCATTGATGATTGAACCAACCCAACCTCACCAGAATAGTAATTTATTATTTTTGAGTAGGTATTAAGCTTCCTATTCGAAAGTCTTCGACTAAACTTTCCACCCTCAGCAACAAAGCACATGGTGAATGGATCCATCCTTACGAAGACAACACCAAATGCAATCCTCGCATGGGCCGATTCCTACTACATCCCAGCCATCCATTTCTATTTTTCCTACTACTGTACAGTACACCCCTCATCTGCATGCACTCTAAACTGAACCGTTCCATCCGAAGTGCAGTGCTAGGTTAGTGTAACTCACCACTTGATCCTCTTGACCACAGTCTGTAGATTTGACCAGCCTCTTAATTAGCGACCCCCCAACGGGCACAGCACCCGTGGACCGCAACGCGGGTCTAGCCGATGATGGATTCTCGCCCCTCTTCTCTGCCTCCCTCTCTGCCTCGGGTGGTGAGACCACAGGAAGTAGACTAGACTCCATGTCTGGTGCTGCACCCAGCAGACCGCGCTCCGAACCGCGCGTCCGGTGACTGGACCGAATTCTCTTCAGCATCACAAGCTCTTGAGCCTCCCACCGAGTTTACCCAAAACCCATCCTATACCAGTACACTATCGCTGCCACTGACGCGGTCCACGTAACGACTGCCAAAAGACGCCTCATCCTCAATCCTCACATTCAGCACTGACGTAAGATCATTACGATCCCTTGCAAGGGCGTACACTACGGTATTGCGATTCTAACAATTGCATACCCTCAAATGAAAGTCTACTGTCTGTCTCATCCTATGATCCTTCTAGTCTGGGGATGGAGAAGCCAAGGAGCAAGAAGGAAATGAGTCTGACACCACAACTGGGGTGCCAAGAGCATAACAACAGCTCCTTTTCTCCTGCATCTACAGAAGCAGCTGGTTGAGTGGGCTGTCGTAGTCTATGTCCATTGCCCAAGAGCAATGTGCATGACCCGGGGGGGGGTCTCTTGTCGATCCGCCAATTCGAGACACTAGGGCCAGAACAGTCTACCGTAAGGTACGCCGGTCGTATCAGGGGTGACAAAATCTCCGGCCAGGCAAATCACATTTTCCAAATGCGATGCAAGGATGCTTGCTCTCACAGGAGTCAGCATGTTTCGATTACTCCCATTCTTGCAATAGCAGTGGTCAAAGGCTACAAATGCGAATGGCAGCACGGAGGAAAAGACAAGATTTTGGCCCGGCTGGCAAGGCGGTCACCATGCAAATTAAGGATTTCAGTCTTCAGACCCTTCAATTACTCAGTAGTTAAGCGATTCTTGTCTCATCCCGCCCTTGTCTCATCAGGCCAAGTTCGGTGGATAATGTATGACTGTGATACCCCAGGACTGCGGTGGAGCGCCTTTTCCGCCCGATGTCGCTAATTTGGACTAATTTGCGCTTGGGCGGACGGCAGCCAATCATTAATGAGTCGAGCTTCGATCGAGGGAGGCCTCAGCTTGAACCTGAAGCCGGCTGCAAGATCAGAGAGCGGTGGCTGGGACTCCGTACGGTGTGGTTGCTTTTTGATTCTTCACCATTCGAGATGCGAAGGAGTGCCAGCGAATACCTCGGAAGAGAGTGAGTGCGAGAGAAGTAAGATTGTTCTCGACTCAGTTCCTTTGTCTTTTTCCTCCGAATCATTGCGCACTATTCCCCGGACATTCGAGCATAATTCCCACTTGCTTGTTCTCTTTCCCACCCATACTCCGTTCTGTGCTCCGTACTCCGTACTTTGTAACCCTCCCCATTGTCGTGATATGTCTTAGACGAGCAAGGCCCGATCACTTTGGTTCTGCCGCTGTGCCGTCCTGGACCGCTGCGCTTATTTCCTCATTGCCCTTCCCCCACTCGGCCAAATACAAGGCTTATTCATGGACTTCATTGGGTAGGTTTCCTCCTGTCCGTCTTGGGATACGAACAAAAGTGGCCCAGATCTCCATCCACTGCACCCTGAACAGACTGGCTAGCCGGCCACATGACACTTTGGGGTCAAAAGGGTACTTCTTTCCCCGTGGAGATTGCTGCTTCCAGCCTTGAGGAGTTGTCGACAGAACTCATGTGCATTTATTCGGATCTCTTGATTGACTTGCTGTGCCTCAACCAGTCGTTCGACTCGGTTATATAGCACAGATAGAAACAACACATCCCGACTAGAACAGGATGAGTATAGGAGATACAGAGGACGCTGGTGTTTGCAAACTCATTCATATTCATACATTTGCCCATAATCCACGACGATAAGAGAACATGAACTCTGACGCATATCTTGTATCTTGTCTCGCCCAGAGATCTCCCGCACAAAGACTACAGACAACCCCCAGCGCGCGTCATTGTCTCAACCTACATCCGAAATACCAGACTCGACTCCTTCAAGCCCGTATCCCCAGTATCTGATACTCAAACATCCACTTCCGTACCCAGAACCATTTCAAACAAACCCCGTACATCCCGATACTCTGGACCTCCCCGCCCCGGACTCGAGATACCTTGGCCACAGGGCCAGGGTTTTGTATCTGCATGTCATGAAACCGATCGTCAAGTTTAACTCGAGAATGGTCGTGGAATGTTTTGCATGCAGCCAGCAGCATTACGAGGACAAGAAGCGTAGACCACCGGTTCTTGGAGGAACGATACGGACCACGTTCCTCTCCCGGTCTTCCCCAGGGGCTATGACTGAAACACAGAATTGGGTTCGTACTGATGAAACCACACGGTGTTTGAGCATGTCCGTGAGATGGAAATTTGAGTCGAACATGGCTGGTTCAACTTCTGGAAGAATCGAGGGAGTGCGTATTCGGTTTGAGGCAGGCTTGAGGCGCTTATAGGATGAATCTGGGCGTCGACTGGCGCCCGGGGGGGGGAAGCACGTAGACATATACAAAGTAAAGTGCTCGCACGCCTCTCCTCTGCCCGGGATAGTAAGTCAAGAAGCCTTGAAGTTCTCAGCTAACTGCTCAGCAGAGAAGAGAAGAAACAAACCCATCCCAGCTCACCAGTCCAGCCTCAACTCCATCAAACCAAGCCTAGGGACAGCACAGTAGCCCCGTATAGAAACCAGCCCATCGAACACCAAGAAACCGGCAAACCAACCACACGACCCTCGATTACTCCTAGGCAAGAAACCATAATATACAATAACCCTCTTCCCTAATCTACCTACCCAGACCATGCCTTTTGCTTGATCCCGAGGGAACACAACCTCCCCCACAAGCCCAGCCCAATCCCATCCACCTCACAACAACCCAGAGACAGGGCATCATTTCTTCTCAACTTCCTCAACCACCTCCCCCAAGTCCGTGCCCCGGATCCAATCCGCAAACTCCTTTCTCTTCGCCTATACACCCAACAATCATCATTAGCCATTGCCAGATTCTCCCAATCCTCACCCTCGCCCTCACCCAAAGCCTCCGCAGACAATCCCCCCTCCCCCAGAACACACAAGGAAAAAAGCACATACCCTGACATCCCAAAACCCATACCGCTCCTCCAACCGCCGATACGGATGGCGCCCTTTCCCCTCGCGCTCGATCTGGCCCGCCCATTCGCTCCAGCTGATGGGTTTGAGTTTCTCGGTGCCCAGGACGAGGCCCACGGAGACGACGATCAAGGACACCAGGGCTTCGATGATGATGTCCGGCGGGAGGTGCGTGGTTGTTGTGGTGGTGGTGGTGGTAGAGTGGAGCGGGTTGAGGCGGGAGCTGCTGGTGCTGCTGGTGAGGAGGGTGTGTTCGTGGGCGGAGTAGCCTCTGTGTTTCCGGGGGGTATTAGCTTTGGGGATGATGTTTAGGGGAAGATATGGGGAGGGGAGGGGGTTTCTGAAGGTGTTGTTTGTGAAGACGAGGGTATAGGATCGTGGTGGGTTGTATGCATGATGCTGGACTTACGCATGGGCAAGCAAGACCAACCCGAATAGGGTGAGGAGGCGGGAGAAGAATCCCATTCTGCTGGTGGATTGGGAGGATGGTTGGGAGCTTGTTGTCCCGGCTTGATAAATTGCAAGAGGAGGTCAACTGAGTGCAATATAGTCAATAAGGTAGTAGCTTCTAATTGCTCTGGTGTATCGGTATCGGACCTGCGGAGGTGGTTGGTACGGTGGACCGGAATGACCTGGACTGCAAGCAAGCCTAGCGCCCGCGGGCTCTTCCAAGTTGCGATGGGCTACTACTCCGTACGGTGGCTGCACATGTCTGAATTGATAACGGCCCCACGAGATTGGGCAGCATTGACCTTTTGCTTGCTCGCTACCTAGTACGCATTGGCTCGGCTTCGCAGCTAGCTTGCAGCTGTCTACGGGTGTTGGCTGATGAGGGGTTAAACTGAGGGGCAATGACTACGCGCTACTAATCACGCAAGAGACAAAAGTGAATTGGGTATAATTTTGTGATTTTTTTATTATTCGTCACGCCAATCGAGGCGGCTTTTATTTATTTATTCAAGGTCATGACAGTAAATTCCCGTGGAATAACATCAAATAATCCATCGTCACACCATAGGGTTTAGTTCATCAAGAATCATTTACAGCTTCTGCATGGCAGCCTGTAGGGTAGCAAGTTAGTACCGACGCGAGGTGAGTAGGGCTGAAAGTGATAAAACTTACAACATCGGTGGACTGGACGTGGTCCTCGTCCTCCTCGATCTGCTGCTGGAGCTCATCCAGAGAGACCTTCTCGTCCTCAACGACAAGGTTGATCTGGAGTTTCTTGATACCGAAACCAACGGGAACGAACTTGGAAGCACCCCAGACGAGACCGTCCATCTCAATGGCACGGACGTTGGCCTCCATCTGCTGGATGTCGGTCTCATCATCTGTTCCTGGTTAGTAGCTGCATTTTTGGTGGTCAAATAATGGTAGAACATACCCCAGGGCTTGACGTCCAGGGTCACGATGGACTTGGCGGCGGGCTTGGGGCCCTTGGCCTCCTTCTTCTTCTTGTACTCAGCAAGACGAGCCTCACGCTCCTTGACGGCCTCGGCGTCCTCCTCCTCATCCTCATCGGAGCCGAAGAGGTCCATGTCGTCATCCTCAGCAGCGGGCTTGTCCTTGGGGTTGGTGGGGAGCTCGGTGGCCTCAGGGCCGTAGGTGGTGTACTCCTTGGAGGCATCACCGGGGAGAGTGGAGAACTCAGCCTCGTAGGAGGCGATGTGCTTGTACCAGCGGGCAACGTGGGGGTACTTCTCGGCGTCAGGAGCACCGGAGAAAGCCTTGAAGGTCACGACATCGGCCTGGGAGGGAGCATCGCTTGAATGGAGTTAGCCAAAGTCCATCATCATGGTACAACAAGGTGTCGATGGGTTGAAAAGTCAATTCAGGCAGAAAATGCAACAAAATGAAAAGGTTTTCCAAGTAATCAGAAGCGCGATTGCTCGCATTGTTGTGTAATCTTGCAGCGGGGTCTTAAGCCGCCTCATAAACACGGACCAATTTGTTTTCATCATACAAACAAGGAAAAAAGCCTTGAACAAGAAGGGGAAAGAGGGGTAAACATCATCAAGAGTGCCTTACCCAACAATGTAGCTCCGGGAAGCCAGGTAGTTGTTGGCGACTGAGGGGCACAATTAGTGACTGCTAGAGACAGAAAGGGACAGAAAGGAAGAAAAAGACGTAGGGAATGACATACGGGTGAGGCCGGCGTCGGAAACGAAGTCAGTGAAACCCATTGTGAAGGTATGTGTATGTGAAGAGTGTGGTGTAAGAAGAAGAAAAAAAGGAGGGGGAGGGGAGAAGGAGGGAATAAATAGGAGGAGGAGGAGAAGGAGGGGAAAGGTGTTCTGAAGTAATTTTTTTTCAATTTTCCACCTTTCCACCTTCCACCCTCCAGGGCCCTGCCTGAGAGGTCGAAATTTTTCGGGCGACGCCCACAGCGCCCCTCCTTTTGGGGCTACACGTGATCTTGACGGTGGACGGATTCGAAGAGCTTGGAAGAAAGCCCGCAAAGCGACCTTCCAAAGTCTGGGAAAGGCTGGTCCAGTTCGGGGAGCTTCCGCCACTCACCGTCACTCACTTCCTCACCCAGGTGGAGCCTTCGAGAACACTCGCGACGTTGGGGGGCAACCGGCTATATAGTCGTGGTGATGCACCCTTTGTGACTGATCGCGAAATCCAACATATAGACCATATTCTACAGTCGAAACACACAGATTGAAGCTTGTCTTGAGCTTAAATCCTCTACACGGTCTGATCTCGACCATGTCGGCAAGACTGCAGCTATCCCGAGGTCGGTGGCTCCGACCCTCGACTCTATCGTCATCGAACCGGATCCTTCAACCGTCCCAAGCTTTACGTCGCACTAGACTATTACCAACCTTATCAAGCACCACCAGTCTTCACAATCCTCGCTCGATAATACCCTCGCGCAACTATGCCAATGGCCGGCCTCATCCCCCAGGAGGCACGCATCGGATGAACCTCGGTGGCGAACCCGAGAAGTCGGCATTGGAACAATTCGGTGTAGATCTTACTGCTAAAGCCAAAGCGGGCAAACTCGACCCCGTCATTGGACGAGATGCTGAAATTCATCGCACCATCCAGGTCCTCTCCAGGCGGACAAAAAACAACCCTGTCCTCATCGGAGCTGCAGGCACTGGTAAAACCGCGGTCTTGGAAGGTTTGGCCCAGCGCATTGTTCAAGGAGATGTCCCCGAAAGTATCAAGGACAAGCGTGTTATCTCCTTGGATCTGGGTTCCCTCATCGCAGGTGCCAAATTCAGAGGTGATTTCGAGGAACGTTTGAAATCTGTCCTGAAGGAGGTCGAGGAGGCGCAAGGCGGCGTGATTCTCTTCATCGATGAGTTGCACACTCTGCTGGGACTTGGTAAGGCCGAAGGCAGTATCGATGCCAGCAACCTTCTGAAGCCAGCACTGTCGAGAGGAGAGCTCCAGTGCTGCGGAGCCACCACCCTAAACGAGTACCGCTTGATCGAGAAAGATGTGGCCCTTGCCAGACGTTTCCAGCCGATCCAAGTCGGCGAGCCATCGGTCGCTGCAACAATCTCCATTCTACGCGGTATTAAGAACAAGTATGAAGTCCACCATGGTGTACGGATCACCGACGGCGCATTAGTGGCCGCCGCAACGTACAGCAACCGCTACATTACCGATCGTTTCCTGCCAGACAAGGCCATCGACTTGGTGGATGAAGCAGCTTCGGCCTTGCGACTGCAGCAGGAATCGAAGCCGGATGTGATCAGAGAATTGGATCGCGACATTACCACCATTCAGATTGAGTTGGAATCTCTTCGCAAAGAAACCGACGTCAGCAGCCGTGAAAGGCGCGAGAAGCTACAGGAAGATCTGAAAGCCAAGCAGGAGGAAGCGGAAAGGCTGACTAAGATCTGGGAGAAGGAGAAAGCTGAAATCGAAGAGCTTAAACGTGTCAAAGAAGAGCTAGAGCGAGCACGGTTCGAGTTGGAGCAGGCCCAAAGAGAGGGAAATTTCGCCAAAGCTGGTGAACTGAGATATGCCACTATCCCCAGTCTTGAAGCCAAGCTACCCAAAGAAGGAGATGAAGCAACAGCCGGCACTTCGTCTAGCCTCATCCACGACTCAGTCACTGCCGACGATATTGGAAATGTCGTTTCACGGACAACTGGTATCCCCGTTAACAAGCTCATGGCTGGTGAAGTCGAGAAACTCATCCGCATGGAGGACACGCTACGTCAGTCAGTGCGTGGCCAGGACGAGGCGCTTTCTGCAGTCGCTAATGCAGTTCGCATGCAGCGAGCCGGCCTTAGCGGGGAGAATCGCCCTCTAGCCTCGTTCATGTTCCTTGGACCCACCGGCGTTGGAAAGACCGAGCTCTGCAAGAAGATGGCCGAATTCCTGTTCTCGACCGAAACCGCCGTTGTACGGTTTGATATGAGCGAGTTCCAAGAGAAGCATACTATCAGTCGCTTGATCGGCTCTCCTGCTGGTTATGTGGGCTACGACGATGCCGGCCAGCTGACGGAAGCTGTCCGACGCAAGCCGTACGCAGTGCTGCTCTTTGATGAGTTCGAAAAGGCCCACCGTGACATTTCCGCTCTTTTGTTGCAGGTCCTCGATGAGGGCTTCTTGACGGATGCTCAAGGCCACAAGGTTGACTTCAGGAACACCCTCATTGTTCTTACTTCGAACCTTGGTGCCGAAATCCTGGTGGGAGCCGACCCGTCGTACTCTTCCAAGGATACAGGAAGCGCAGAGCTTTCTCCCGAGGTTAAGAAATCGGTCATGGATGTTGTGCAGTCTGCTTACCCACCAGAGTTCCTCAACCGTATTGACGAGTTCATCATTTTCAAGAGACTGTCCCGCGAAGCTTTGAGAGACATTGTCGACATCAGAATCAAGGAGCTCCAATCGAGACTTGATGATCGACGTATGGTTCTCAAGGTCGACGACGAGATTAAGGACTGGCTATGTGAGAAGGGTTATGACCCCAAGTATGGTGCTCGTCCTCTTAATCGTCTCATTGCCAAGGAAATTGGCAACAGGCTGGCCGATAAGATCATCCGTGGCGAGGTCACGGCTGGCCAGACTGCCCGCGTTTCTTTCAATGAAGAAAAGAATGGGCTAGCCATTACTGCGGAGGCTGCCCCGGAAGCAAAAGCTGAAAATGCTTAAGCAATGATTATCTCTTAACTCATGTTGATCATGATGTACGGTTCTTGGCGCAAGGTTGGCTGGATATCTGACTTGCCGATTGATATTTCTCATGTCTCCTCTATAATGTACTATAGCATCAATGTACCATATAACATGAATTGAATGTAAATGCGCTGCAACTAACTTAAAAAATCTCAGTACCATAGTTGTTGTAGTTGGATGCCTTAGGCTGAAGCTATTTGTGAGATGGCTTCGCGCTACTACTCCATGGGTCAAGACCTCTGCAAACGTACCCAATCCGGATTACCTCAACCTCGACTTCGGCACGATGATGAGATCTTCCGTGAAAAGAAGGCGCACTATCTATGAGTCTGTATTTTCCCAGGGCTCTACCAACAACGCCAGGCTGGCAACGCATGGCTCCTCACAGCGTGTGCGCCAACCCAGCATCCTGCAGCCCAGTCCACAATCTCCACACGAAGCAACGCAAGCACGACAGAATCTTCTTGATAGTGATCTGTCCTTGCAAGCAGCCGACGATGAATTAGATCAAGTCATCGTAGCCATCGATAGTCGGGAATCTGGAACTGTGGGATGCTCCTACTACTCTGTCCGAGAAGAGAAGCTCTACTTGCTGGGAGACTTACG